TCATCAACTCTGTTATCGTCAACTCTGTTATCATCAACTCTGTTATCGTCAACTCTGTAATCATCAACTCTGTTATCATCAACTCTGTTATCGTCAACTCTGTTATCGTCAACTCTGTTATCATCAACTCTGTTACCCGTCACTCTGTTATCGTCAACTCTGTTATCGTCAAGTCTGTTATCGTCAACTCTGTTATCCGTCAACTCTGTTATCGTCAACTCTGTTACGTCAACTCTGTTATCGTCAACTCTGTTATCATCAACTCTGTTATCGTCAACTCTGTTATCATCAACTCTGTTATCGTCAACTCTGTAATCATCAACTCTGTTATCATCAACTCTGTTATCGTCAACTCTGTTATCGTCAACTCTGTTATCATCAACTCTGTTACCGTCAACTCTGTTATCGTCAACTCTGTTACCGTCAAGTCTGTTATCGTCAACTCTGTTATCGTCAACTCTGTAATCATCAACTCTGTTACCGTCAACTCTGTTATCGTCAACTCTGTTATCGTCAACTCTGTAATCGTCAACTCTGTTATCGTCAACTCTGTAATCGTCAACTCTGTTACCGTCAACTCTGTTATCGTCAACTCTGTTATCGTCAACTCTGTAATCGTCAACTCTGTTACCGTCAACTCTGTTATCGTCAACTCTGTTATCGTCAACTCTGTTATCGTCAACTCTGTTATCATCAACTCTGTTATCGTAAACTCTGTTATCATCAACTCTGTTATTATCAACTCTGTTGTCATCAACTCTGTTGTCGTCAACTCTGTTACCGTCAACTCTGTTATCGTCAACTCTGTTACCGTCAAGTCTGTTATCGTCAACTCTGTTATCGTCAACTCTGTAATCATCAACTCTGTTACCGTCAACTCTGTTATCGTCAACTCTGTTATCGTCAACTCTGTAATCGTCAACTCTGTTATCGTCAACTCTGTAATCGTCAACTCTGTTACCGTCAACTCTGTTATCGTCAACTCTGTTATCGTCAACTCTGTAA